AAAACATTTAGGCTTACATGTCTTACATATGCATTGAGATGATACCTCATGGTTTTAAAAACATTTAGGTGGATTAGCTGGCGGCTCTTTTCAAGCAAAGTTGTCAGTCTAGAGGTCAGGCTAACTTAGCCTCAGGTAAGGTGTAGTTTTGTAAGTCTCTTGCATTTCGTTGAATATACGTTTGAAGCATTACCCCTCAGTAAGCTCATCTTAGATCTAAGATCCGAGGTTGAGGTTGACTCCAATCACCTCATAAGCCTTATATTTTGGGCATTTCCTTCAACCTTGTTATTTGAATATAACCTCAATCTTATAAATCAAATTGATCAATTCAAATAAAAATTTAATTATAAAATATAAAGTCCAATATAGGATAGTTTGAGTACCTCTAAGTTTCTCATAATCAAGTGCTCTTACACTTTCCTCCATTTGGCTTCCATATTAAAAATTTGATTTAAAATTGATCACATCTCTTTTGAAAATTTTAAAGACTAAATCTTTGAATACGAATTTCTCAAATAATAAAGAAAAAATGTTAGCCAATATTTTGATGACTATAAACAATATTAGTTTAGTCCAAAAGTATTCTCAAATAATAAATGCTTGAGATGTAATTAATCATGGAAGTTTGCCCCTATGGAGCATCTGTACCCTAGAATAAAATAAACTCTATTTAACTAAATATTGATTAGGGGAAAATTTCTGTTATAATATGAAGTTGTCAGTTTTGTTATTTTGTCCTTAGAGAAATAATGTTTTTGTCCTTGAGATAATATATTATTTTCTATGATGTGCTCGATCACAAATTATCTCAATCCTTCGAGAGTGATACAAAATTTCTCAAACAGTCACCTACTAAAAATAGTGATCAAGGATTTGTTTTTTTAGCAGACAGGAAGAGAAATAACGTGCTTAAATGTTCAGAAAGTAGTGATCAAAGCAGCTTTTATTTTTTTAAGGACCTAGCGTTAATTACTATCTACAAGAATCCCTTAGGAATTATAGGATGTATGTTTACGAGAAATAAAGAAATTCTCGTTTGATTGTCTTTAGTTTTTGTCGGAAAATTTTCCAGGTTCTTTCCTTTTCTTGCATTTATGAGATCATTTGATGAATTGAATATTTTACTTCGGCTGGCTGCTAGCATATGAAAATAATATATATATATTTTTTTAATGGATTAGTCTCTTCAGATGTAATGCATAGTCTCTCCATATAAAAGTGAACTTTTTATATGGGTTTTTGAATGTCGTCTGATTAATCTCTGTCTCTCTCTTTTGGGAAATGCTCAATGAACTGTTTAAATTATAATGAAAACTGATAAAGGTCTGTTGATGCATAATTTCTATGTTATAGATGAAGATGGACAGTATGATATTGTGTTTGAAACTGCAGAAGAAGTCCAACATTAAAACAAGTTTAGGGTTAAGTTAGTATTGAGAAGAATAGTTATCTCCTCCTTGGAGGAAATAAATTTCTTAGTTTTTTTGCTATGTATTGTTTAGAATTGAACTCTTGTTTTCCAGTAAGAAGAATTTTTCTTTTTGTTTAAATTTTTATGCTATGGACTTCAAATATAAAACTAAGTCTTTAACATCTTTTACACCAGTAATGAGTTGGTTTGGTGTATTTTTTAGAACATTTAGTCATCCATAGGATGCATCGGAAGCTTTCTAATGATAGTTTTGATTGCCTGTGAAGAAATTTTTTATTTTGATTATTTATTTATTTATGTTGCATCTTCCAAATAATTTTAATTTAATTAATTCATTTTTCATGACTTTAGAGCATGATTGATGAATTGCATAAGTAAAATAAACTATTTATACGTGGGATCCGATATATCTTGTGATCATCCACCTGTTTAATGCTTTGAAATGATATATTTAGTTATGCTGCATCTTTTGAATATTTAGTGACGCGGACAAGAGTCTTGCATTCTATCCTTGGGATTTTTTTTTTATAAGTAGGGTTGATTTTATGAACTTGTAGAAATTAAAAAAGGAAAAAAAGTTTAGAAAGAAATAAAATGAGAAAATATCAACAGAGAAAAAATAACAAAAAAAGGAAAAAAAATCTTCCATGGCCTCATTTTAGCAGCACAAAACAGATATCGTGCCCATCCCATGAAAGCTCATCCTTCTTGTCCCCTTCAAGCCTACTATAATTTCACACTAAGGTTTCGTTTGAGATGGCTTTCTTATTGCTTCTTAAAGCAGCTTTTTAGTACAAAAAACTTAAATTTTTATACTAGGAAGCAGCTTTAAAAATCATAAAAAAAGTTGTCCCAAACGAAGCCTAAATTTGCACAAATCTCGTTCATAGCACGCTCATCCCACTGACATCTTCTGCGCATCACCCAGCTCAGTGTTTTCTAGCTCTCTTCACGGGATCTTTGCAATGAACGCTTTCTCCTTGGGCTTTTTCTTTGCATCCAGCACAGATCACGCCTTCAAGCACTTCACTTGCCTACCAGCTTGCTTGCAACTACGTTCTTCACTCGGCCGTTTCCACCTTCCAATTCTTTTGCTGCATCAGCCAAATTGCGTTGTCTGCCATCTCTTCACCTGTTGCACTTTAGCTGCTCATATCTTCTCTCAGCCTCTCCTCTCTCCTTTGATTTCGCCTTTCAAGAATCTTCACAGTAACTGCATCTTGCCAGTGCCGCATCCTATCCGGTCCTCTTAACTTTCTATGGCCACTTGCTTATCTCTTGTCAATATATGATTCCTCGACATCATTAATATGTTCTCCAAGTGATTTACTTTGACAACAAAACCATCGTCCATAAAACAACAGCCTTTGATATCTAAAAATTGCCTTCCGCTGGCCTTGACACCTCATGACCTCCTCCTGTTGTAATTCTTAATTTTTTACCTCCTGGGGAACACCACTGTCACAGATCATCATCTACCAGTCAATTCTTAAAAATATAAGATACGGGTACGACGCTGATATGACATTATAATATATAAATCATACATAAAAATTAAGAAAGTAATCAAAACGTAATATTTGAAATGACAAAAATTCCATAGCTTTCATGAGACTTTTTGTAGCATATAAAAAGAAAAAAAGAAAAGAAAAATTCAGACCTCTCTGCATTTTCATGTTGAAGTGAACTAATTTTTTGTTTTAAAAAATGAGAGAGATACAGGAAACTTAAAGAAAATCTCTATTGAAAAATAAAAGCTCTTAAAAAAATTTCTACCGGAATAGATATCTTGGATCTATTGTTCAGAGTGATGGTGAAATAGATGGGGATATTATCAGCAGAATTCAAGTTGGATGGTTGAAGTGGAGGAATGCATCGGGCTTGTTATGTGATAGAAATGTACCCCTCAAACTTAAGGGAAAATTCTATAAGATGGTAGTGAGGCCTGCAATACTTTATGGTGCCGAATGTTGGCCATTAAAAGAGAAGCATGATACTAAGTTAAGTGTGACAGAGATGAGGATGCTCAGGTGGATGAGTGGCTTTACCCTTAGAGATAGGATACGAAATGAGCATATACGTGAAAAGGTTGGAGTAGCTCCAGTAGAAGATAAGATTAGAGAGAGTCGCCTTAGATGGTTTGGTCACATAAAACGGCGGCCTTGCGATGACCCGGTTAGGAGAATAGAGGTATTAGATTTGACTTATGTTAAGAAAGGTAGGGGTAGACCTAAAAAGATTTGGTTAGAAAATATTAGGAATGACCTTTCTTTATTAGATTTAAACGAGAATTTGACTTTTAATAGGACACAATGGAGAAAAAGGATTCATGTAACCGACCCCACGTAGTGGGATAAAGGCTTGATGTTGTTGTTGTAAAGACGACGAAGCAGATTAAGAGAAAGAACAAAACGAACCTTCACTGCACGTGTCGCCCTCACTGCTCGCGTCATCGAGCTGCTCCGTCGACGAAGGATGATCTGTTGGCTTCAATGCTCGCATCGTCGAGCAGCCCTGTCGCAATGTATGATCCCGTCGGCCTCACGTCGTCGAGCTGCTCCTTCGACTACAATGAAGAAGACGAATGCTTGCGGAAACAGAAAACCTAGCTTTCGGAAATGAACAAGCCATGGAAATGAGCGAATAGGGATTTCGAGCAGGCAACTAAAATGAATAGGGCAAATCGTGCTAGATTTTTTTTAACAAATACATGTGTCCGGTTAAATTAAAATACTGTTTTAATTGGACACGGCACGTATCCGTGCCGTATCGGAACTGTATCCGTATCTGACGTGTGTCCAATACAGCATGTCTCATAAATAGGAGTATCGGTGCTACATAACCTGCCACGAATTTCTAGTTTCTTGTTGCAGCTGTGATCCCACTTCTAGTGGTGTTTTCCATTTACCATCAATCACTGTTGCTGCCATCAATATTACAATGAGCGGTCTATTTCTCGCATATATATTCTTATAGAGTTAAAAAAAAAAGATACAGAATCTGATTGTATGATCAGGCACAACAATCATATCAAAGGCAAATTTTGGTTCAGTTATATTCCTTGTTTCCAGTTATTTCAAGCTTTGCTTGATTCCTACATTTTTATCTTATTTGCTTGATATTTTTAATTGTCCATGAAAATTTAATTAGTTGAATTATCCATGAATTTTTTTATTGAAAAATTGTAATTTTTTTAATTGAAAATTTGTAATTAAATTAACAAATGGCCATTGAAAAGACCTTTAATTTAGTCAAGGTTGTTGGCATTGTTATATCGCAAAATGAAAAATGCATCCATTATTCTATCTTTACCTGAGTATTGTCAGGCGTTGTCTTCATAGCCTTTTTAATTCTTTGTGCTTTATGTTTTTTGATTTTACCTTCGTGTCACATAATATATTCTTTACCTTTTGGTAGTTATATCCATACATTAATCACTATGGAGCCTACTAGTTTTCAAAAAATTTCTACTTTTCTGTCTAACCTGGATTGTTTGTGGTTTACTTTGATTCTCTCTCACATTCATAGAATTTAAATCGGTTGTAACTGATCACTCTATTTGCAGGAAAAATGAAAGGCATTGCATTTATCAAAGATCCTGATGGTTATTGGATTGAAATTTTTGACCTTAAAAAAATTGGGGAGGTTACGGCAGTAGCCTCTTGAAAGATCCAAGACTCTAAAGGTAACTCTCTTCTCCTTAATTAGAGTTTTATTTTGTGAAGATAATTTTTGTTGAAACATTTTTTTATATCTTCTCTAGGCCAATGCACTAAGAATCTTAAAAGTCATTTTGGGTGGGTTCATTGTACCTAGGAACTCGACATCATTTTATGAAGTCTAATAGCCATCTTGGGTTTACGAAGGGTTGGGTTTTTATTTTTAGGGTCGGTTCATGCATAGTAGATATACTCAAGGTTCATTTGGTTAAACATCTAGAGACATCATCATCATCATCATTATTAAGTCTTACCATAATCATTTGGAGTTGGCTTTATGAATCCTCATTCATCATTTGCCCCAATTTTGTATTGCATGAGGTAAATTTATTCTACGTAGTTTTTTTTTTTAATTTTTTAATCTATGTTACCTTTGATCTACCCCCTCTTTTTTCTTTAACCCTTAAGCGTTAATATTATCTACTCTTCTTATGGTTTATTTTTTACCTTTTGTTTTCCATATCAATTTTATTCAGATTTAGTCTGCACCACCTTATCTTCAAGAGATGTTACTTTAATCGTCCCTCTAATATAATTATTCCTCAATCCATCTTTCTATTTTTACGACAAATTCCTTTTAACATTTTCTGCCACATTTAGCTTGTCCATCAATGATTTTTTGTACGCTTAACTGTCGAGTGCATGCAATGTAGTCAGCCTAATTACAGTTGAACAAGATTTACCTTTTAATCTCTATTATATTATTTTATCCCATGATACTCCCCACACACTATTCTATTTTAATCACCTATCTTTAACTTTGGAAGTTGCGTACTCATATATTTCTGCATTCTTTGGCTTAAAAGTTTAACATTGTTACACATATGAGATGTAGGTATCACTCTATAGTAATTTGGATGTAAGTATGAACTTATTTTGTTAGAGATTTCATTGATTAAAATTGTCTTTGTCAGGAAACGTTTATAGGAAAACAAGAATCTCTTTTGCTGAATCTTAATTTTAGCACTTTGCAATTTAGAAATTAAGAGGAACTTGGAAAGAAAAACTTAATTGAACTCCTTTAATTGATACTAGATGAAGAAAATGACAAGATACAATGGATCTTTTATTGGAGAGGAAGATCTAGCTCTTTCAAATCTCTAGATTCCGCTAAAGCCCAAGCAAAACTCAAGAAGCAGGAAAACATAGCAAAAACCAAGATAAAAAACCTAACCCTAGCCACCAAAACATACTTAAGCTTATAAAAATTAGGTTAATTCCAAAACAGCCCCTTCAATTTGGATTTTCCCTTCTACATTGCCCCTTAATTTCCCCTAATCGAACATGTGGACCCCAATATCAAAGAGGGGCAGAGGAAGGGGGCTGAAACTCCCTATTCCGCCTCTTATACATCTGAACTGGCCCCCTTTGGATCGGCTGTACTGGTCCAAGGACCGATATAATAGTCTTCTATGAAAGTACAAACTAAAACACGCTATTTTTCATATCATTTGTAAGCATATCATACTTGTTAATGGTGAATGGCGCACCATAGCACAAAAGTCCCTTTGGAGCCATGGATCATAGCGCACGACGCAGCGCGATCTATTTTGAACATGGCACAAACTATAAATAAATTTATAAAAAAATAGGCTGAAATGTGAAATATCATTAATTTGAAAGATAAACTATCGTAATAATGAAAAATAACCATAGCCATGCATAAGTTTAAGTAAACAACACCTCAATCTCTCATGATTCAAAATATTACAATCATTTTTTTAAAGGATAATGATTTTATAAGATTATATTATCAGTAACAACTTATATCTCATTATGTGGTCCAATAACCTCAATGTACTTGCAAAATACTTCGAACATTCTCATAGTATTTTTGGGAAAAAGGAATTGACATATAACTCTCTATGAATGCTGAATCTCTCTGACAATTCATAAGAAAATTAATTAAGTTTTTCTCATTTCTCGATGTCCATCCATTTGTCATTAGAGAACAACTATATCATACGCAATCTTCCTGATGTATCGTAATAGTTTATGTGTATCTCCAGTCTCTTTCTTCAAAAAAGTAACTCGTACCTCATAATAACTAGCGGGTTTCATTACTGGTTCAAACTGTCAAAGTGCCTCGACTACTGCAGGAAAATTGTCTTTTTTCACTGTATAGAATAGAATCCCGACATCATACATCCATTTACATAAAACTTGAATGACCCTTCTCCTCATTTCCTTTTTAGCGACATCCATCTTTTTGCTAAATTGGCATTTTCTCTGCTTCACCACAACTTCAGAATTTGGTGTAAGATGAGTACTAATGGTCATTTTGGTCTTAATGCTTTGAAGATTGATGTTGATGTAGAACTTTGACTAGAAGTGTTGGATTTATTTATTTGAAATATTTTGGATGATCCAGCACTAAGAATATCATCATCTGTCATCACATTGAAGTAGTCTTCTTCATCAATGATGACTTTAGATGTGTCATTAATATGTTCTTTCAAAAAAAAAAAAATCAACATGGAGATCTGAATTTTAGCCTTAACATGCTCAGGGCAATTCAAGCAAGGTTTAGCATTTCTAAAACCCCCAACGAGGTATTATTTGTGGCATGTAATTTCTCCTTTTTTTATTTTACCACAAAAAATACATGTCATAGTATTATTATCTGCTTCATCAGTCAACATTTTATAATACCTGCAGACAAGCATATTCAAATAATTAATTTTTGGTCTCCCTTAGATGAATAAAAGTCAATCTCACATGCTTGAAATCAATGTAAAGTTCATCATATAAATGACAAACACAAAATTGAAATGAATAACTTGACAAGATAAAGATTCATTGTAAAAGTGAAGTGGAGGATTGCAATTCGTCCAAAATTTCTAAAAATAATTAACAAGAAGAACTTTCACATCATCAAAGTGAGCTTCAAATTTGTTCAAAATTTATACTAAAATAATTGCAATACTATTCTCCAAACAGGAAAAATAGAATGCAATGTTCAAATCCTACTTGCATGTCGACATTCACATGACTCTACTTCCCAAGTGCAATCTTGGGTCCAAATTTTAAATCATTTTTTGCTCTCCCAAGTGCCATCTTGGATCCAAATTTTAAGTTGACTAGGGACCACGATGGCCCGAGATGACGGAACCATGAGATCTTGATCGGGCTCATCATCATTCCCCTCACCATCCACTTTAAGTGTAAGGTGGTGGATTTTTAATTTTAAATATCAAAATGTGAAATACCAAATTCTGCTGCTACTATACGCCAGATACTCTGTATCTGTTTGATGACTAGCCTTAATCAAAAGTTTTCTCTCATTATTGGGAGGGGTAATTAACTATAAGGGTTTATGCCTATAGGAAACTTGAACTCAAATCATAAAGTCCTCACAAAATGAGGGCGAAATCTCTGGGTAGTATTTTATTTACAATCCAATCTTGCCTTCTGAAAATTTGCCTCAAAACTTGTTAAAATTCTTCTTGACGACCCAAAAGAAAGAAATGGTCCGCAGAGAGGCTGGGGCGTGAATTTTCGTAGCCCACACTACATGAATTATATTTCTCCATTGTATCATGTTAAACCCCACGTAGTGGGATAAAGGCTTGATGTTATTATTATTGTTGTTGTCCTGTTAAGAGTCAAATTATCATTTAAATCTAAGAGATAAAATCATTTCTAATATTTTTAAGTCTTTGTAGGTTTATCTCTATCTCTCGTTGATAATTTAATCCAATCTTATCTGCATGGAAGCCAACTGCTTTATAATAAATTGCATATTTCTGTCATTTCTAGCACTAATTAGTTCATCTTTTGCCAAAACTCCAACAGAAACTAGCTTACTCTGAAGGAGGCGCAGTTCTTTCAAGAGGGTTAAAATCCCTTCGTCATTGCTACTCAATCAAGTGTTTGGTATTGCTTCTTCTGCTTCGATGGTGTCTTATGCCTTCATTTCTCTCTGAGAATCTCTACCCAGAAAAATAAAACCTGGAGGATTCAATATCACAATATATAAATGGGAATTCAGTTAAGATGTTTGGTTGAATTGTAACTTGTTTGCACCTACTTGCTGAAAGCTTTATCTTTCTTATTGTCTAAAAATTTACTTTGTTTTGCAAGTAAAGTCTCTGAATATCTTGGTGAGCTTCAAAATATCATGTATAACACGAACATTGATGTAAATCCTAAGACTTAGCTCAAAGATATTTTGGCAAGAATTTTTTTAATAATTGATCTTAAATGTGATGATATTTTTACAATAGATGCAATGTGTTAAGTTGGGCGGTTTGAATTAGTTTTAAATTTTGGCTTTGCCATTGGCGTTTGCTGCATGCTTCTCGACTTGTAAGAACACAAATATTTTAAATTTCCATAAGACAATGCATTTTTTTTTATCTTTTTGTTTCTATTGGAATCAAATGCTAGACTCATGAAGCTTAGGTATAAAATTATAAATTTTGGTCTTATATACCTCATAATATTTAAAATTAGAGATTTTTTTGTTTTTTGTTGATGATATTCTTCTTGTTGATAATATTAGGGAGGGAGTTGAAGGTAAACTTAAATTATGGAAATCAATCTTAGAGTCTAAAGGCTTTTGTTTGAGTAGATCTAAAACTAAATATATAGAATATAATTTTAGTAATAATAGATCAAGTGGGGGGATTGTGACTTTGGGTAAATAAGTTATTAATAAGAGTACATGTTTTCGATATCTTGGGTCTGTTGTTCAGTGTGGTGATAAAATAGATGGGGATCTTAACAGTAGAATTTATGCTGGATGGTTGAAATGGAGGAATGCATCGGACTTGTTGTGTGATAGAAAAGTACCCCTTAAATTTGGGGAAATTTCATAAGGTTGTTGTTAGACTTGTAATATTTTATGATGTAGAATGTCGGCCATTAAAAAAGAAACTTAATATTAAGTTAAGTGTTGTAGAGATGAGGATGTTCATGTGGATGAATGTTTTACTCTTAGAGATAGGATATGAAATGATCATATACGTGAAAAGTCAGGAGTAGCTTTAGTGGAAGATAATATTAAAGAGAGTTGCCTTACATGGTTTTGTCGCATAAAATTGCAACCTTCCGATGACTCGGTTAGGTAAGTAGATGTATTAGATTTGACTTATATTAAGAAATGTAGAAATAGGCCTAAAAAGACTTGGTTATAAAATATTAGAAATGGTATTTCTTTATTAGATTTTAATGAGAATTTAACTCTTAACATGACAAAATGAAGAAAAACAGATTCATAAAGCCAACCCCACATAGTGGGATAAAGGCTTGATGTTGTTTTTGTGATGATCGGTATTATATAAGCAATGAGGATTGTTACAAGATTGTGGTTAAAAGTTGTTGATATTATATATTTGATAGTTTTTGATGTGTTTGCACTTTGAAATATAAACCTAGAAGGATATTAGATATAATATTATCAACTTTGAACATTGTTAGAAATTTATTATGACATTAATCAAAATATTTTTTTACCAATGATTGTATATTGAAAGAAATTTAATCAAATCTTGTTTGTATTTTAGAGCCAAGATTGAACAATAGTCAAAGAAAAAGGTTTGAAGATGATTTGAATATGTAATTTACTATTTCATAAATCTTTCTAATATCATCTTATTCGAACTTTATTTGAATCTTACTCAAGCTTTGATTGAAATTTTTTTTTAATAAGCCTCATTCATATTCAACTAGAGTTGAACAATGTTCAAATATAAAATAAATTTTTTATTGTATATGATTTCAATCTTTGATTGAAATTTGTCCAAACATTGGTTGAATGTTATTTGAATTGAAATGAAATCATCATTTCTAACTTTGTTATTTTTTATGATTTGCATTAATATTGATGTAAATTTTATTAATAATTTTGTTTCAGCTTGTTATGGTAGGAGTTTCTGTTAAAATTTATGAGTTTTTATTGAGTACTGTGGTGCTTGAGCCCATCCCTTTACTTCATATAATTAGTTTTTCAGTTTTATTATTTAGAGACTTTTATCGCTTAAAGTAAAATTTAATAATTTGTAGTGTATTTCCTTAGTGTCCCATTAGAGTAAAGTCGAAGGGAGGCTATATGATACTTTTTTTGTGGAGAACTTAGCTTGTTTGTGTAAGCAACTTTGTATTTGGAGGAAGAAAGAGTGTGAAGAACATAATTTGATTCCCTTTCGGGTAAAAATTTTATTATTACTTTTCTTGTAGTTCTTCTTTTGATGAATGAAATGAAAATAAGTTTTATTGGTGTATCTTCCATGTCTGATTAATTCTTTAATTTTGGGTTAATGATGTAAAAACTATGGCAAGTACTAATATAGACTCTTGCACCTTGAATGATAAATTAATATTTTCAATATTTCTCATTCTTCATTTAATACATACAATGGTCATATGTGTAGTTAAAATCTAATGTTATGTATAGCCTCAAAGGAGGAATGCTTGAATAATTAGGAGTGTTGAAATGGAATGTTGATATGCATAAACATAGGATGTTTGAATATTCTAGATTTTACGGAGATAAAAACTTGTAAGAAGGTTATAAACGTTTCTTTTCATCCCGACAAGCTCAATAAAAATCTAGGGATGCATATGCTATGATGTACATATAAAATCAAAGAGTCTCATTAGAAAAACTATTGTATTTATATTCATTAGTTCAAAACTCTTTATTTTCATAAATATTAAATATCTTCTTGTAAGTTTTTTTTTTTTTTTTTCGGTGACAAAAACTCCAAAAATATCATCTTTCTCTCAGTAGGATAAATAGTGCATTTGAAGTAAGCAAAAGTAGTGAATTTGCAATTAAGTTGAAGACTCCCTTATGGGTTTTTTACACTCTACTTTATCAATTTATTACATGATTCGACATATATACTTGCATATTTTAGTGGGCTTTTATTAATTTTATATAAAAAAATCTAAACATAATTCAAACTTAGCAAGTCACATGCCAGCTTACCGTAAGCCTCCCATTTGTTTATATTATTTTATTTTTCTTAGTTTTTATTTGATTTGATTTTATTTTATTTTTCTTAGTTGTTGTTGTTGAATTCTTCTTTTAGTAAACTTGTTTTATTTTTTTCAGTCTATTTAGTTTAAAATTTCCAGTAAAGATTTATTTATATTTTGTAATTTAAGAAAAATTATTGAAATAAAATTTATCAAAATTTTGATTTAATTCTTGCCTTATTATTGCACTTTTTGGTTTGATTTATGGAATATATAAAATTCAAAATTAAAATCCTTAAGTATTTGATAGTCCACAACTTGCAAAATTTTTCTAATAAAATAATTATAAATTAACAACTAATATTTTCATTTAAAATTAAAAAATTTGGAAAAATTAAATCCCTAAAATCACTTAAGCACTTGACTACTTATAAAGGTTTTTTAATTTTAGGATTAATATAAATTAACTTATTAGATTAATTATCCTAAATCACCTAAAAAGCAAGTAAGTAGGGATTTATGAAATCTCTAACAACTTCATGTTAGTATAATGAATGGAGGTCAGAGATAGAAATAAATATCAAAATAATATATTTTAGCTAACAAAAGAAAAAAAAATTGTTAAAAAAGGTTAAAGTATCTAAATATTAAAAATTGCAACTTGTAATATCTAGCTTGATTAAAAAAATTAAATGAAGCCAATGGATAGGTATTCAAAATCTTTACGAGGTACTATGCCAAATAAAAATAAAAGAGAAGAAAAAAAAAAGAAAAATTTTCTAATACCCAAATACAAAAGATTTCAAACCTAAAATAACTAGCCCTACCTATATACTTCTAAAAATTTAATTATTGGAATCATAATACTTAAAGAAAGCTTATAGCTAGACTTAACGATTATGAAACAAGCAATTTTATTAACTCCAAAAATTTAAAAAAACTAGTCAAAATTCTTCACCATAGAAGTTTAGTTTAAAAGGAATATTAATTTAAAATGAGGGACCTAGATGTTATAATTTTTTTTTTTTGGAAAATCTTTCAACTTATGTACTATATAAATACTTAGATTATTAATCTGATTTTTTTTTTCAAAAATCATACTCAAGGAAAAAGATAAAGTAATTCTTTCTGAGTGTAGTATTCATCATTTGAGGATAAGTAATAGCTTAACGTTTGGGAGAATTTGATAAGATAAATTTTGTTATTTTAATTTCTTATGACTATGTTATTATGTGCTTATAATATGTATGGATTGTGCATGAATTATATACAATCAAAAAAATTGAAATAGTGCAGTAGCGCCACAAATGTAGTGCCACGGTGCGAGAACTCAATCCAATGTTACAACATCATAACGGAAAGCTTACCAAAAATTTGTTGAGGAGCTTAGCGCTAAGGCGTAATCCAGTCAACATTGCAGCACTAAATTGAGCGCTACAATGCAAAATCACCATGTACCATGGCGGGCGTTGGTTGGACCGGTGAATAAAAGTGACTATTGATGAACCGATGCGCCGATTCAGTAGCGCCATAGCACCACCAAGCTAGCATCGTAGTGTTAGTTCAAAAAAAAAAAAGAGAAACACTATAAATATTCACCTTAGGCCTTATATAAAGAGGTTGGAAACTTGGAGTCATAAGTAGCGTTATTTTGTGAGTGTGTGAGAGTTGTATAGAAGAGTGTGTAGCTTATGTTTCGTATACCTAATGTATGTATTGAAGTGGATCAAAGTGAATGAGTGAGCAAAGGATTGCAGAATTACTTCGAGGTTATTTACGAACTTTACTTTCTTTTATTTAAATTTATATCATGTGTTTGTACTAGTGAACTAGTTAGTATAATAAAATATTTATTTTGTGTGTTATGTTTGTTATGTGTATCAATGCATCCATGAGTAGCCAATCAACTTTTATGATATTGTGATGAATTGAAAGGATGCATTATTTAGAAAAGGTTTTATTGTTTATTAATATAATGTTATTTTTAACTTTTGTGCATTTCAATTGATTTATTTATAAGTTGTACATAAATTCAAAATATAGTTTGATCTCGAGCCTTGACAGAGGAATAGAAGAATAACCAGGGAATTTTAAAAGTATTCTGGCCATAACATAGGTATATGGTGGTTAGGATTATGGTGTCTTAAGGAGATAGTTTAATTGTAGTTAGTAAGAATCTTAGCTTATGATAGTTTAATTGTATGATACAGTACAACTATGATCATACATAATGATCTTTATAATGTTGACGACTCAGAGCATTGGA